GGCAGTAGTCTGGAGATTTTAATCAAAGCCGAGAACCCGATAGTTAACAATGTTTTATTTAGGGGTTTCTTAAGACATAGAGTTCAAATTGAAGTGTTTAAGCTCCTTTTGCTGGATTCCAGTCCCATTCTCAGAATCATGAGGATAAGTGGGCTGAACTAAAGTATGAGAAGCTCTCAAACTTCTGCTATAACTGTGGTAAGTTAGGTCACTTAGATTCTGTGTGTGGAGAAGAGATGGTCATGTCTTTGAAGGATCCAAACCAACCTATGTATAGTAAAAGGCTGAGAACTGCACAGGCGAGAGAGACTAACAGGAGGACCCCAGGTAGGGTTAAAAATATTTACAAAAGCACTTCAAGTAATCGAAGCCTATTATGCACCCTCGTATTAAGGGATAAAAGGAAGGGACCTTGGAATAAGGAGCCCTTTAAATCCCCTAACACTTTTGTTAAGCATCAACTAAGACCACTCCACATATGCTAACTGATATATCCTCGTCTAGAAAGAATCCTAAGCTCAAACTTGTCGTCTACCTGTTCTCCACCTAAGGAAAATGAACATTTAAATATTGAATATGTTGGTAGTAGCAGTAGTGGTTTGGTGGCTCGTAATTCAATGAGTAAGAATCCTCTTAACGCTGTTAACCTGGATATCATTCCTGTTAATGAATCTCTATTTGGTAATTCAAAAAGGGAGGACGTAGTAGCCCAAGAAGTATTTGAATGAACCCTAGTCCCAGGTAATGATTGTACTGTGTTTGAGGGCAATGATCACCAAGTTTACTTTGTGGAAACACCTGGCGATGAATCTGCACTAGCTGCAAAAGGGTTGGAACATGTTATCCCCAGAAGGCTGCCTAGCAAAATCCCCCTGGACAAAGTGTTTAATGGTTTAAGAGTCAAGAGAGGTAGATCAAATAGCCCCACTAGTCGTAGCCCTACTAGTCCCACAGCAACGAAGTTGAAACCTAGTCGAATTCTAAGATTGAATCCTCTGCTACCCTTGCCTGGCCCTGGGAATGTAATGTTTCCAAAATCCAGTGAGAGAAAGAAAACACTAAAGAAAGGGAGGCCTGCTGGAAGAATGCTAAAAGTGAGCCCTGGTGTCCAAATTGAGGAATCTCAGTTGTTCAATGTGCCCATCGCAGCAAGTGGCACCTTTGTTTTAGAGAACAAAAGCTGAGGTCTGAAGGGGTTGGTGGCCCCCCTAAGGCCACAAGGGCTCCATGATTCTATTCAGATACTATGATTTTGATTTTGGGAAGGGGCTGCCCTTGGTCATGAAATCTTTTAAGCCTAAGGCATCCTAGATTATTTCTTCAGTTCTGCTTTTGCTTTAATTTCTTTCTTTTGTTAAAAACTTTGTTTGCAAAAGAGATAACAGCTAGCACGAGTTTGGTTCTGGTTTGGGTAGATAGAATGATAGTATGGCTTGCTTTCTATCGTTGGAGGAGGTATTCCTTGGAAGGAGTTGATTGTTTAGTAGGTTCTTCTGTCACCAATTCAAAGGAGCAATCTCAAATGACCAAGCACTGCCAGAGGATCTTCAGCCTCACTCTGCGTTCCTTTCATCCCAAGCTCATGATGCTTGCTTTCATCTACCTCACCAAGACTTTGAAGGCCTGCTTCTCAAGTCCACTCTACATTAAACCACCAGAGGATGTGCGACCTATTGTTAACAGGAGTAATTCCTTCCTTGCTTTTCTTCATCTCCAAGCTTAGCAGCTCTCCTTTGTGGTGTTATTTCAAGTGTTTTGTTTCTGTGTTACTGTTTTTTCTCATGTTTTGTGTTTTCATGGTCTGTAAGCTACCTTTTATTTCTGGTTAATATAGTAGTTATGTTTTAATGCCAAATAAAAAAAAAAAACTAAGAGAAATAGAGAATCAAGGATGAGAAAGGAAAGAGAAGCAATTAGCTGTTTAATTTGAAGCGATAATATCCATGCATTATAATTGGCTTAACTCTAACATAAAATAACACATAGATTCTAAAACCAAATACGACTCCTATTAGTCCTCTTAAAGATCATATCAAATATTAAACTAATAAGAAACTAATTAAATCAAAACATA